ATCACATTACTTTCCTAGCTGGAGAGGGATGGAATACTCAGTTCCTAATTAACCATTTTGATGGGAGAATAGGGAACCAGATTCTGGCCATTCCTTATCCGGATGGGGAAGCAGGTGAGGATTTTCTGTGACAGAAAAACAGGTTACCAGGTCAGTCTATTGTTAAATCTGCTTACAGGAGTCTGACTAGTCCTATTAATAACTCAAGTAACAGCAGTTGGGACCGGATCTGGAGCTGGAAAGGAAAAGAAAGGGTCAAATTACTCATGTGGAAGATGCTCCATGAGAGGATGCTAACCAAAGAATACATTAGCAGATGGTGAGATTCTACAAATAGTTGCCTTTTGTGTCCTGATTCAGTGGAGACCAGCCTTCATGCTTTTAGGGACTGTCCTAAAGCTAAAAAAGTTTGGTTAACTCCTTTTTTCCAACCATTACTGACAGGTTTCTTTAGCTCTAGATCTTTCAAAGATTGGGTTTTAATTAATTTGAGTCAGAGGAATAAGCATGACAAAGACTGGAGGGATTATTTCTTCATAGCTTGCAACTTCTTGTGGATTTGGAGGAATAAAGAACTCCATGATGTGACAGCAAAACGACCAGATGATCCTTCATGTGTCCTTGCTGATTTAATTGTGGAAACCAGATGCTGTAGAAGAAAACGAAATCTGCAACATGATCCAAAAGATCTTTCCCTTCTACCTCTCCTTGGTTGGACTGTTCCAGCTCAAGGCTTCCTAAAATTGAATGTTGATGGTGCAGCAACAAATGATAGAGCGGCTTGTGGTGGTCTTTTAAGAGACTGGAATGGAGCTTGGCTAAGTGGATTTTCTGCATTTATTGGCTCCTGTTCCTCTTTGCAAGCTGAACTCTGGGCTATTTCCCATGGATTGGATTTTGCTTGGAGTTATAGTTGGAAGAGTATTATTTTAGAATCAGATTCGTTTCAAGCTATAAGCCTTCTTACCACGACTGGTAATGAAACTCGAAAGCTTCCTTTGGTAGCTAAGATTCGAGTTGTTCTTAATAGAGATTGGTCAATCTCTTTGAAGCATGTTCCTGGGACTTGCAACTTTTGTGCTGATTGGATTGCGAAGAAAGCTTTGAATGATTCCTTTGGCCACTTCACAATCTCATCCCCTCATATCGAGCTTATTAATCTTCTTGCTACAGACCTGCTCGATCCTGGCTTAGTCACATCTGTTCCTAGTTGATGCTGAAGTCCGTTTTGGTCTTCAGTTCTGTTTTGGTTTTGTTTCCTCTAGTTTTCATTTAATTTATGTTTGTTTGTATTGTCTGAGGGGCTATGCCCCATGTATTTACCAACAAAAAAAAAATTGCTCAATGTGAATTAGGATGAGGATGAAGTTTCCAAACATATTTTCTTTTTATTTTTAGTTTGAGAACTGAAATCTTTAAAATTAATGTTTAATAAAATCAATTTATTTTTTCATTCTAAAGAACAAATTAGTTATTTAGAAATATAAATTGATAGAAATAAAAAAACACCGAGCTTGTTTGATTTATATTTTTTAAAATAGTTTTTAAGTTTTTAGAAGAAAAATAATAAAAAAGCAAAAGAATTATTTTATAAATATTATTAGAAAACAGAGAAAGAAGAAAGTGATAATTCTCATTGATTAAAATCTAAGTTCATTCTTTACATGGTGTGTATATATGCATCTCAACCACAACCGAATTGGCGAGCTGTTTACACGTTTCTATAACAGCAAAAAATAGATGAGGTGTCAAAACAAAATACCTCCCTATACATGTGTCCTACAACAGAAAAGTAGATGAGGTGTAAAACTGAATACCTATAATAAAGGAAACAGAAAAATAAAATACTTATTATAATACTCCCCCTCAAGATGGAGAGTGTATGTTAAGCACTCCCATCTTGGAAAGAAGAGAAGAAAAAAGAGAACTAAGAAGAGCCTTAGTCATGATATCAGCAAGTTGATGTTGAGAGGAAACCGGAAAAGTGCGAACAATGCCTTTTGTAACTTGATCACGAACAAGATGACAATCAATCTCGATGTGTTTTGTGCGCTTATGAAAAACGGGATTGGCGGCAATGTAAAGAGCAGCTTGATTGTCGCAATATAAATGAGCTGGAGTTGGAAGAGCAATAGGAAAATCATGCAGTAAGTTGAGTAACCATAAAATCTCACAAGTGGCATTTGCCATGGACCTATATTCGGCCTCAACAGATGAACGAGACACAGTAACCTGCTTTTTAGACTTCCATGAAATCAGTGAGTCACCAAGAAAAGCACAGAAACTTGATACGGATCGCCTAGAATCAAGGCAGGTTGCCCAGTCAGAATCAGCAAAGGTATGCAAAGCCAAAAAAGAAGAGGAGGAATAAAAAATTCCCTGGCCAGGGGTCTGCTTTAAATAAGCCAGCAAGCGTTGAGCAGCATGAAGATGAGGCACTCTTGGAGAAGAAACAAACTGACTCAAATGGTTCATAGCAAAACACAAGTCAGGGCGAGTAATAGTTAAATAAATAAGCCTACCAATAAGCCTGCGATAAACAGAAGGGTCAGGTAGGAGATCCCCAAGATGAATAGAAAGCTTTAAATTGGATTCCATAGGTGTAGACTGCGGTTTGCAGCCCAATAAACCTGAATCTTGCAATATGTTTAAGGCATATTTGCACTGAGAAAGAAAAATCCCTTTAGAAGAGCGGGCAACCTCAATTCCAAGAAAATATTTCAAGGGGCCAAGATCCTTTAGCTTGAACTGTGTATTCAGAAAAAAAAAAAAAAGGTGCTGGACAGCCTCAGAATTATTTGATGCCAAAATCACATCATCAACATAAACAAGTATAGCAATAAAAGAATCATTAGTGGTGCGAGTGAACAAGGTATTATCAGCAGTAGATTGAATAAATTTCAAAGAAAGCAAGGCAGAGCTGAACTTGGCAAACCACTGGCGAGATGCTTGCTTAAGCCCATACAGAGACTTCTTCAAACGACAGACAGCATTATTAGGAAGGGACTCCCCCTGAAAAGATACCCAGGAGGTAAACGCATGTAGACCTCCTCAATCAAATCGCCATGGAGAAAGGCGTTATTGACATCTAGTTGATGCAAGCACCAATTCTGACTAGCAGCAAGGGCAATCAACACACGGACAGTAGAAATTTTAGCAACAGGAGAAAAGGTCTCCATATAATCAAGTCCTTCTTGTTGAGTGAAACCTTGAGCAACCAGCCTGGCTTTATATCTTTCCAGGGAGCCATCTGAGTGGTATTTTACTTTGTAAACCCATTTACAACCAATAGCAACCTTGTTAGAAGGAAGAGAAACAACATCCTAGGTATGATTTTGTTCAAGAGCAAGGATTTCAGACTTCATAGCATCACACCATTCTAGCAACTGAGAAGCTTCAGCATAGGTAGTAGGTTCAAAATGGTGGGAAAGTGTATTAACAAAAGCCAAGTGAGAGGGTGAAAGACGAGTGTAGCCTATAAAATTTGAAATAGGATGGGCAGTGGTAGAATGACAGACATAGTCTTGGAGGTGTGGAGGAGGGCGAGTGAAACGCTTGGGACGGTCAGAAGGTGGAGAAGCTTCAGCAGTAAGCAACGGAAGAGGAGAAAAAAATAGGAGAAACAGAAAAAGGAGACAGAGTCTGGACAGAAGAAACAAAGGGAAAAACCTGTTCAAAGAAAACAACATCCCTGGAAATAAAAATACGATTGGAAGTGAGGTCAAGAAGTTTATAACCTTTGACACCTGGTGGATAGCCAAGAAAGACAGCAGGCAAAGCACGAGGAGAAAATTTGTGGCGAGTGCGAGACAAGGTGGAAGCGTAGCAAAGACATCCAAAAGCTCGAAGATGAGAATAAGAGGGAGGACGTTGACAGAGAAGTGCAAATGGGGTCTTGTCAGATAAAACAAGAGAGGGAGTTCGATTGATCAAATAGATAGCAGTCTCAACACAATCCTGCCAATAGGGTAAAGGAACATGAGATTGGAAGTGAAGAGCGCGAGCAACATTTAAGATGTGTTGATGTTTGCGCTCAACAACGGAATTCTGCTCAGGTCGTTCAACACAAGAATGGAAAATCTGTATTTTATTCAAATAAATATGACTCCAAAAAGTTACTTATATTTAATTTTTAAAACTAAAATTAGAGAATAATTTAGGGATATTGACAAAAAATATTTTTTTGATTTCATTATTTTTACGATAACAATTTGTAATTAGGAAGATTTGTAGATGACGTTTTCGTAAATAAATTCAGTTTGTTTTTAATTTTAGTTTATTTTACAATGGCAATTTAATAATTATGAAGATTTATTAATAGTTTTTTTATAAGTAAATTCAACTTCTATTTAATTTTGTGGATAAATTTTTGATTCAATTATTTATATTCAAACAAGTTTTCTTATTTAAAATATTTTTCAAAATCTATATTACAAAATAATTTTGGAGAACGAAAAAATAAATTTAAATTCAAATGACACGTTATATAGTAAATACTGAGATAGTAGAATGTGTTCTCAAAATCATCCACCAAAAAAAAAGACTGTGTTCTCAAAATTAAATATAACTTTTTTGTTAAAAAAATAATAGTTATTAAATATATATTTGACCTATTTTGATAGAAAAATAAGTTCTGTTGACTAATATATTTATTTTTCAAAACGTCTTCCTAAACATAAAAATAAAAAAATCATTTCCTTGAGAACATAATCCACCATAAGTTCCTTTGTTAGATTAGTGTTCTCTTTTCTAACTGATTATCTTAAAATTAATCATAGTTAATGATTCATAGTTTGCAATGTTTGTAGAAAACTAACAGGTTATATTTTACCAAACCGGTTCATCGGTTCTTTTTCGAGAGTTTCAAGCGGTCAGATTACTTAGACCTTAAAAGCGGTTTATCTGAACCGGACGGTCTATCACTCTATCCATTTGTTTCTTTTCTCTTGTTCCTCTGTTTCATGTCATGTTCATGTCTCAATTTTCAGACACTGTTCAAGATAAGGATTTAGTGTCACAACAATGGCAGCACCCATTCTCCAATTAACCTCACTTTCTCCGACAAAACCCAACACAGAAACACCAAGATATGAAGCTACACTTGCACTTGAACCTTTACCTTACCTGCTTTCTCTCATACCCAAATGCACCTCTCTCAGAGAGCTCAAGCAAATTCAAGCTTACACCATCAAGAGCCACCTTCAAAATGATGTCAATGTTCTCACCAAGGTCATAAATTTCTGCACTTCTAACCCCACAACAGCTTCCATGGACCATGCCCACCGTGCGTTCGACCAAATTACTCAACCAGACATAGTCCTTTTCAACACCATGGCACGTGGGTATGCTCGCTTCGATGACCCACTTAGAGCAATCCTGATGTTTTCTCAAGTGTTTTGCTCTGGCCTCCTTCCAGATGATTACACCTTCTCCTCCCTCCTCAAGGCTTGTGCAAGGGTTAAGGCCTTGCAGGAAGGTAAGCAACTGCATTGTCTTTCTGTCAAACTTGGGTTCAGTGATAACATATACGTGTGCCCAACACTCATAAACATGTACACTGCCTGTAAGGACATAGATGCTCCTAGAAGGGTCTTTGATAAGATTGATGAACCTTGTGTTGTTTCATATAATGCAATCATTACAAGTTATGCTCGGAATAGTCAGCCCAATGAGGCCTTAGCTTTGTTCAGAGAATTGCAGGAAACTGGTCTTAAACCAACTGATGTCACGATGCTTGTTGTGCTTTCGTCTTGTGCTTTGCTAGGATCATTGGACTTAGGGAGGTGGATACATGAGTATGTTAAGAAGAACGGGTTAGATCAATATGTAAAGGTAAATACTGCACTTATAGATATGTATGCTAAATGTGGGAGTTTGGATGATGCGGTTTCTGTATTTAGGGAGATGCCTAGGAGAGACACACAGGCGTGGTCAGCGATGATTGTTGCCTATGCAACACATGGGCATGGTTCCCAAGCCATATCTATGTTGGAAGAGATGAAGAAGGGAAAAGTGAAGCCTGATGAGATAACTTTTTTAGGTATATTGTATGCATGCAGTCACAATGGATTGGTAGAGGAAGGTTTTGAGTATTTCCATAGTATGACTCATGAGTATGGAATTGTTCCTAGTATCAAGCATTATGGGTGTATGGTGGATTTGCTTGGTCGAGCTGGACGCTTGGGTGCAGCCTATAAATTCATAGATGAATTACCAATTAAGCCAACTCCAATTCTGTGGCGGACATTGCTATCTGCCTGTAGCAGTCAGGGCAATGTTGAAATGGGAAAGCAAGTAATTCAGAGAATCTTTGAACTGGATGATTCCCATGGTGGGGATTATGTTATTTTGTCAAATCTGTATGCAAGAGCAGGAAGATGGGATGATGTGAATTATTTAAGGAAAATGATGATAGACAAAGGAGCAGTAAAAATTCCTGGCTGTAGCTCTATAGAGGTCAACAATGTTGTGCATGAATTCTTCTCTGGGGAAGGAGTTCATTCAACTTCCACAATATTGCACCATGCCCTTGATGAGTTGGTAAAGGAATTGAAGCTGGCTGGGTATGTAGCTGACACATCTCTAGTCTTTCATGCAGACATTGAAGATGAAGAGAAAGAAATTATTCTTAGATATCACAGTGAGAAATTGGCCATTACTTTTGGGCTTCTGAATACACCCCCTGGAACAACAATTCGTGTGGTCAAGAACCTTAGAGTCTGTGGGGACTGTCATAATGCTGCTAAATTTATATCATTGATCTTTGGCAGGCAGATTATTCTCAGAGATGTTCAGCGATTTCATCATTTCAAAGATGGGAAATGCTCCTGTGGGGATTACTGGTAGAGGAATTTGTTGAGCCAATATTCGATTTTCTCACAAATAAATAAATAAAAATGGTCTATTTATTGCTACATACGTAATTGCTATTATTTGTGTTTGAAATAGCCACTATATGCAGCCCGGAAGAAGAAAGGTTTGTTCCTGTAATTTTTGTAATGTATCAAATTCAGATAACTAGTAAACAGTTACATGTACATGTTGGTATATATTATTACCTTGGAAGGTTCAGGTTAATTGTCATGTAATATAACACTTTCCTATTGCTGGTGTTTTTTGACATATACCTCTCCATGATTTACTCTAGAATCACTTGTCTCCTCTGTAAATGTTATTTAAAATTGCATAAACTGTCAATTTTATCATTGTGAACAGTTAACAAAGTGTATCCCCTTTATTTCCTTCATTTTTTTTTTTCCGGATAAATTACAGGTGTCATTTACAGAAGACAATTATATTTGAGCCGGGAATATTCACATTATGATTAAGTTAATTCTACCAAAGGAATTTTTTTACATTCACAAGAATTTGAACCCAAAACTTTACTTAAGCGGAATTAAACATGTATTATTTAAATTAACCCCTTTTGATATTCCTTCATTTTTAAAACAACAAATTTTAGATTTATGTGGAACTAAAGCTCAAAATCGTTAAAAATGGAGAATTTTTTTGAATAATATACTGTGACGGAAGGATTTTTTTCAGCATATTTCCATTTGAAAATTAGAATTTACATGAACTTCGACGAAAAAATAAATGGAAAAAATGATAAAAAGAAATTAAGAGTTGACTGATTTTAGAATAAATCAGATAGAATAAAAAATCTAAGTTGTATCCAATAAAAATATCGAAAAAAACGTTTGTCTTTTTAAAGGATATAATGTTATGTCATTTGATCCAATAAATTATAATCGTTGATTGATAGAAATCAACGGTTAAGATCTAAAATGACACAACATTATATCCTTTAAAAGAATAAATATTTTTTCCTAAAAATATATATTTAAATTGTGATGATATTTCAATAAATTGTCTCAGTTTGGTCGAAATAAGATTTTGATTTCGAATTTGTAAATCAAGACTTTCTAACATTATCAATTTCCCATGTGAACGCATTTGTATTTAAGGGGAAAAAAAAACTCAATGACATGTTTGGTACACATGAAATATCTAGAAAATACTCTCCAGGGTGTGAATTAGACAATTTATTTTGTTTAGCACTCCGAGCGGCGCCTGTGCCTGACGCTTCGTGAGTATTAGCAGTATATTTATTTGCCTAACAAAAATACTTCAAAATAAAAACCAATCCTATTTTATGAAATAAATGCTTAATAAATTATATCTATTATATATTTATTTTATATTATATTATCATATATATTTATATAATATGTATAGCTTAAAAAAGTATTTTAGAATAAGGAAAAAAAGTTATATCAATTAGATATCTAATAAGATATTCTTAAATATATATCCACATACTTATGTCAATTAGAATAAAAAAATATGGAAAAAAAACAATTATTACTTTATTATTTTTTTACTTTTGCAAATTAAATTTCTTCATTTTTTTACTGAAATATAAATATTTAAAAATCTTCATATTTTAAAAAATAAAAATCCCTCTTTTTTAACACTTTAAGACTTTATACTAGCATCAATTTTCCATGTGAAGGCATTCGCAGAACTACAATAAAGATTGAATATACATTAAAGAATTCAACGGGGGTCATGACACAAATCAGAATTAGCATTGTCACCTTCCCGTATGAACAAAGGTGCTTCCTCTTGGCTTCGGCCATAGCTACAAACATCAAAGAGCTATAAACAAATTAAGATTTGCATACCATTGTACCAACCTTATTGGTCCCTAATATGAAAGCACTTAAAAAAAGGTGCCGACATGACACAATTATTATTGTAAACAGTAACGCATGTAAACCATTCCATACGCTAACATAGAGGGGTGAGCATATCCTGCCCAGATACTATACCTTATTATTTTTTTACCTTCAATTTCTGCCTATAAATTCATCAATTCACCAATACCATTCCATAACTGTGGCATCCACTCAAAACCATAAAAATCACTACACTTATCACACCAACTCATTTGTGAAGCAAAGATGGAGTTCAAGGGATCCATTTTGATTAAGCTTGTGCTGCTGCTACAGTATTTATCAGTTTTCTGTGTTTCACAGGATTTTGATTTCTTCTACTTTGTTCAGCAGGTAATGTAAAATTTCATTGAAAGGTCATGCTTTGAGTTATGAAGAATCTCCTTAAAAAAAAAAAAAAAAATCAATTTTTGGGATTTTGCATTTGCAGTGGCCAGGATCATACTGTGACACAAAGCAAAGTTGTTGCTACCCAACAACTGGGAAGCCTGATGCAGATTTTGGCATTCATGGTCTTTGGCCTAATTACAATGATGGTTCATACCCTTCTAACTGTGATTCCAACAACCCTTTTCAGCAATCTCAGGTATTTCATTTACGAAACAAATAATTGGACAAGCTGCATATCATAAATAATACATACATCACAAGAAGTACTTTTTCTATATTTTCTTCTCCTAATTATTCCATTTGAACCAAAAGGACTAAGCTTTACATTCCCATCTAATCATTGTATCCAATTTACAAGTCATAAAATATGTTTTCCTTTTTGTTCCCTAACAAGACAAACGTTTTCTGATATGCAACTTTAAGTTGTGGCAACCGGTCGTCACCTTTTATTCTTTCTATGTGTCCTTATGCAAACTTTTCATGCCATAATTGCTAAGCAGGGAAAAGATTAAATAAAATAATAAATAATTATTTTAAACCTCAAATCAGAATCTCAATAGCCAAATAGAATATATTTTATTTTAATCCTAAAAAGTATTCTGTTACTATGATGATTAAATATATACCACTAACTTGTTTGTGTATATGATGACAGATATCTGATCTCATTAGCAATTTGCAAAGCAATTGGCCCACACTAGCATGTCCAAGCAGCAATGGGATACAATTCTGGACCCATGAATGGGACAAACATGGCACTTGCTCAGAGTCAGTCCTTAAGCAACATGACTATTTTGCAGCAGCTCTCAACCTGAAACAAAATGCCAACTTACTCCAAGCTCTTACAAGTGCAGGTACATATTCAAAACTGGTCTAATCTAATACATACTTTTGTTATATGATAGCAATATGATTTTAGCAAATAGCTGAGAAACATGCACTTTGTGACAGGAATACAACCAGATGGGGGGTCCTACAGCTTGAGCAGCATTAAAGGGGCTATAAAGGATGCTATTGGGTATACTCCATTCATTGAGTGCAATGTGGATTCATCTGGTAATAGCCAGCTATACCAAGTTTACTTGTGTGTGGACACCTCTGGATCAAGCTTCCTTGAGTGCCCTGTGTTCCCCAATGGCAAATGTGGATCAAATATTGAGTTCCCATCTTTTTAATATCTAGGAATGACTACAAGTCTATAAGATTATTTTCTCTTCAAGTTCATTTAACATGTTGTTGTCCTTTTCATATCCAAATGTGACCGATTGGTATTATAATTTAAAGTGGAATTTAATTTATAGAATTCCCTCTACTTTTAATTTCTTAAAATTAATCCTTCAAATTAATTTACTGAGACAAACTAACAGATCTTGACAAAGTGAAGGAAGAATATGAAAAGAGAGTCAAAAGACTATCAATGCATTGAGAAGCCGTTACTCCAAGCGTGGAAAAATATGAATAATTTGCATTTTGGTTATGTTTCTTCTTCCTAACTACCATCATCATAAGATTACTCTTCGACAAGAGAAAAATGCCTTTGGCACGTAAGATTATCATCACCTATGAAGCACTGACACTTCAAAAATCCTGACGTGTCGTGTCTGACACTTCCCGACACTCGGACACTCCCCGACACTTCAACACGCGTTATAGAAATTCAAAAAAAAGTTCAAATGTTACATTGCGTTGATTTTTTAGTTCCAACTATTAGATTCGTTGGATTACGATTACCATTTTATTGAGTTTAATATAAATATTTGGGATATCCTATATTTCTTTGCAAAATTTATGAATATTATAAGTGTAAATTCATTTTTTTGTTAAATTATTGAATATTAAATATAATATACACTACATAAATTAAAAATATTATTTAATATCAAAATGTGTCCTAACGTGTCGAAATATAACATTTTTTAGAATTAACGTGTCGGAGTGTCGTATCGTATCGTGTCACGTGTCCCGTGTCGGTATCGGTGCTATATAAATCATCACTAGCACTTCGTCTATTTCCCGCGTAGCAGGCAGGGGGAGCTAGGGGAGGGGTAGAATATGCTGCACCTCCCTAAATTTTTTTATTTTATTTTATATATAAAATAATTTTTTTAATAATAATAGACTATTAGTACTAATAATTAACCATTCCTTATTCACCAAAAAAAAAGTCATTCCTTCAGAAGTATTTATAATAATTAGTATTTTTTATTAGTCTTAATAATATTTATAATTTTAAAATTTAATTTTCATCCCTTATTATAAATTTTTTTGGATCCTTGATGGAACCTATTTTTATAAATCTATAATTGCAGAAAACATAAATGGAGCCAAGCTCTTTACAATATAAAATGCAACAAAACAAATCTAGAAATCTCAACTCGTAGATATCCCTAAATTTCCCCACTAACCAATTTTGAATTCATGCATACCCATACTACCACACTACTTACTTTTTATCCTATACTTTAAGAATAGTTTAGAATAATTTCTATAACAAACTAATTCACTACTTTTAGGCCCATGGCCCATCAATACCCCCTTTAAAATTCACCTTATCCTCAAGGTGAGGAAGAAAGTAGATGATGTGAGAAAACAACCACCCGGATCCCATTGTTTGAAGAACCTTGACCACATTAGTAGCTTTAATTCCATTTTTTTCCCATGAACCTCCATGTCTTCACCGCAAATGAGCATTGCTCTTGAAGAGTAAATTCATGCGTCTCTGGTTATTAAACTCCAACAACATCCTGAACCGTGATACTCTCCATACTCCAGCAACGTTGGTTTTTTTGTTGGCCAGCATGCCTCCACTTCCTTGGCTCATCGTTGCACTATTGCCTCATTGGGTTCCTAAAGACCCCACCTCACTAGTATGGATACTAGTTTGTGTTTAGAGGTGGCAATATAGGTTGAGCCCGGCGGGTCAACCCGCCAAAATGGGACGGGTTGGATTGAGGTTTTCAACCCACCAACCCACTTCAACCCGCCCCGCCTAGAAATGAGTCAAAACGGGTTCAACCCGCCGGGTTATAATTTTTTATTTTTTATTTTTACAATTAGGTAATATTTCATTTGGCATTATATTTTTGTGATATCCAATTTTTTTTTATCTTAGTGTTTCTGCTTCTGCTTCTGCTTCGTCTTCCTTTTCTGCGTCTTTATCTTTCTCTGATTCTTCAGCTGTGTTTTCCTTTTCTTCTGCTTTATTTGGTTCTTCTTTGTTTTCATTTTCAATTTCTTCTACGCTTCCTTTTTTCTTCTCTGTTTTCTGTTTCTTCGGTTGCAACTTCTTCTTCTTCTTTCAAGGTTTTTGACGTCTCCTATTCTGTATCATCTACCAAGTAAATTTCAGGTAAATATTTCTCTAGGAATGCCTTCTCAAAGTTCCTCCATCTTCATTTCCATCGTTGATACCAGTTAAACGCACTCCCTCTGAGCCCTGTCACAGTTTCCTTGTATTTCTGATCTTCATGGATTCCTTCGATCTGGAAAAATTGTTCCAAATCGATTAGTCATCCCCAAACTTCATGATCTCCTCCTTCTCCAAAGAATTTTGGAACCACTGTAAATCTGTATTTCATTCCCCTCCTGATATGTGGATCAAAAAACACTCTTAGGATTGTAGTACTTTGATACCAAATTGCTGGAACCTATTTTTATAAATCTATAATTGCAGAAAACATACATGGAGCCAAGCTCCTTACAATATAAAATGCAACAAAATAAACCTAGAAATCTCAACTTCCATAGATCCTCAAATTTTCCTACTAACAATTCTGAATCCATGCATACATGTACTACCATACTGCCTACTTTTTATCTTATACTTTAAGAATATTCTAGAATAATTTTCATAACAAACTAACTGATTCACCCATGGCATTATTATAAATTTTTTTGGATCCACGAATAATAACAGGCTTAGAAGCCAACTTTGATAGATAAATAAACAAAACGCTAACAACAGTAATGCTACAGGGACAGAAATTTTGTCAAAATTCTGGCACAAAAAAAGAAAAAAAATTCCAAATGCCAAATGGCTACAGTATGCCCACTAAAAAAATTCTATTTAGTATGGAGAGAGACATATAATGTGTAGTTATTTATACAATGATTATACTGTTTTAAAAAAAATGCAGTGAGTTATATTTATATCTATAATCTATCTGATAACAATTACTGCTCAACTCTAATTTCTTTCTTTAAGTTTAGATCTAACCAAAGACCTGTAATCTTACTTTCCAGTTTCCATTCAAAACATTTGAGTTATATCCGAACTCTTTTATTTATTTATCTTGTATTTCTATTTCACAAAGAGGTCAAGTTCAGACATCCCCCAAAAAAACACACACACACACACAGATATTAAGAAAATATAAGTAAATTACCGATAATATTTATAAAAAAAAAAAGTAATTTTGTAGACTTATAGTCCTATAATTTTTTTGAAATTCTAATGCTAATAATTTAAGTTTTCATGGTCTTATTATATATTAAATGTTAAAAATAAAACTAAAATCAAGAAAATGAAAAAAATAAAACTTTAAATGTGAATAAATGTTTTATTAAATTTAAAAATAAAAATAAAGTTATGACTTAAAAATGCTGACGTATAATATAATCATTTGGCACAAAAAAAAATGTTTTATAAATCTTGGGATGTTTATTTATTATTTTAGGGAAACGTATTTATTATTATTAAAGACATAATTTTATTCATTTTTAATAAAATGATCGTATTTTGATATATATTTATTTGCTTTTTATATTTTTTATCTTTCACAAAATTAGAAGTAGAGAGTATTATAAAAGAGAACATAAAAAACTACTAAATAACATGATTATTTTATTTAAAATAACATAAAATTATATCCTTTAAAAACAATAAATATTTTTCCTTATTTTAAAAGTAACAGTTCCCTTAATTTTTTATTTTTTTTTATACATAACAGTTCCCTTATTTTCTTTATAGCCTAAAAAGAGTTAGACTATAGAAATTAGTTGCACTCACTACTCATGTAACATCCCCATAAATTAATATAAGACTTTTTAGTGTGCTTTGTCCTCACTCACACTTACTGAAAAAAATTTCTAGGAGGAGGTCACTTGTAACACCCTGTGTATACCCATTTGTTAACATGTCATCGTATTAAGTCACGCTTAATTAAAATGCGAAATATCTTTTTCTTTTCAATTATGGCGTCATTATCAATTACCAAGTTGATTACTTAATTCTTTTTCAAAACATTACCTGTATGTAATTGCAAATAAACAGCTATCTACACTGAATAACCTCAATAAATAATATAACTGAATGTGTCTCTAGTCACGGAACTACAACACGTAGACCAGACAGATCCTGAAAGATTAATACAACTCGAAATAACTTAAACAGCGTCAAATCAATGTGGCATGGACAATCGCCATGCTCACCAAATAACAACATACTCATCAAGTCTCAATACAATCAATATGGTAAAGGGTAAGGCATAAACACTAAACAGGGACATCAGGCATAACAATCAACTAAGTTTCGGCCTCCTGCCGCTAGAGGTCTCAATCCCTGGGTTACCTAGACCTGAAATAAGCGCCTCAAACGTGGGGTGAGATCTCTAAACAGAAATCTCAGTAAGGCAAGCGGTCCCCAAGGATTTCTCCACCCCAAGCTCACTTACATGTGCAATATAAGTTCTAAAAGCAGTTTAACAATATAAGTTCCAAATCAGTGCAATGCAGCAAATAATCATGTCATGTGAGTTAACTATTCTATTGGCCAGAGAAATGCAAGATTTACACACGTCTATTACCCACATAGTACACGTCCATGTCGTACCTGCCCACAGGATCACTATCCCGTCTAGGCGAATCATTGCATATATATCATAGGCATTTGCACTTAACAGCTCAAAAGCATTTCAATAAATCAAAACATGAAAACACATCATGCATATAGACCATTCTCCATGGGATATGGTGGAACCAACAATGGCTAAACCGAGGACACGAAAGCTTACCTCTAAGTAATCGAACCAATCCAAGGTCCACACCCGCTCAAAGTCCACACACAACATAATCACAATCTGTTTGGACCAACAATCATATCAATATTTATACTCTACAAGCATATGACATAAAGACAACGCCTTCTTTTTACGTTTCATGTCTTTAGGCTTCCCAC